CGAACGCGTCAATAATAGCTGTTATCAAGAATTTTCTTTTTTCTTTTTTCTTTTTTCTTTTTGTTTTTATTATTATCTTTCTTTTCTTTTTATTTATTTTTATATAAATAATTTTTCTTCCTCACGTACGATCAAATTTGCCGATCGAGTGAAACAATGTTTTTCTCCTATCTTCACAACTAACATGAATTTGTCCAATCTATTGGAATTGTAGTAAAGAACTCGAATGATTGATATTTTCATGAAAATAAATCGATCTGTTGATCGATTGAAACTATCCTGTTACAAACAAAACAACATCAAATCAATTTCATCCATACAACAACGAGTATTTCAATTATTTTCAAGTGTATACTATCAACACACACATTCTCATAGTATTTCCACAGATTCGTTTGACAAAAACAATTGAAAAAGATCACGGAATATACTTGGAACAATATTTTCAAGTGTAGGTTAACACGTTAAGCGCCACGTCGGTCCCTAGGGACCGACGCTAGACTTTCCGTTCAGGCCACGTCGGTCCCTAGGGACCGACGGCAGACTTTTCGTTCTTCTATCGCGGCGCGTGTGTCCGTCTTTGCATACTTGTGAGACTGAACATTTAAATTATGCGATATCGGTTTTAGTTTGGTCAATGCTTCAAGGATATCTATGCAACTGAGGATWTCTTACGCGTTTGGGCGTTATTAGGCCTCGCTTTTCGGGTTTTTCTCTACTACGACGGAGAAGGGACTATACGGATATAAACAAAGTATATACAAAGTATTTATTGCGATTTGAAAATGTCAGGCTCTCGAGTGCATCTTATCTACAAGTGGAGAGGTAAACATACGAAGGCAAGCCCCGGCCGGATTACGTTACCCGACATTTGTTTATACTCTGGCTCGCCTATCGGCGAGCGGCCCGGCAGAGCCCGCCTGACGGCTAACTGTGGCCTGAACGGAAAGGCACGCAAATTCGGCGTGGCGCTTAACGTGTTAAATAAATGAATAAATAAAAATAAAACATGTGTGTGTGTGTGTGTTGTGGTGTGCAGATCACACGTGTCAGAAGTGAAACCTTCTTAAAACCTTCGCTTTGAGAGAATGAGTCGAATGCAGAGTATCAGGAGTAAGATAATTGTAAACTTTATCTTATCTTAATACATATAAATTACGTGTCACGTTGTTTGTCCGCAATGGACTCCTAAACTACTGAACCGATTTAAATAAAATTGTACACACTGTGTACAGTTTCATCCAACTTGAAAGATAGGAGTATTATTTTATTATAATTATTATTTTATTGCAAATTATTTGTTTATTAATAATGAGTCATGATTATCTCTGTTAGTTCGATAAGATTCTAACAGATGGCGGTATAAGGTAATTCGTTGTAGGGACCCTATAGAAGGGACATGCCATGTACATTGCTGGGGGGACAGGAACTCGTGTAGTCACGTGACTGCGTGCGAATGATTCAACTAACCACAGCCGTTAATACATACTAAAGATAAACATGGCTGCGCGATGCAACGGAAGTTGTCCCCCCACATTTTCAGTCTGGCAATGTATATGGCGTGTCCCTCCTATAGGGTCCCTAATTCTTTGACTTAAAGACGTGTGTATTGGACTGATTGTGAACCATAGCAACGCGTTGCGGGGCACCCCTAGTTTATTATAAAAAAAAAAAAAAACAGATTTGCTTGTGAGAAATGTGAATAGTCTAGTGGCCAGTCGAAGAACTAACTTATATTTTTAAATGTGTGGATTGAGTTAATATGAGTCTACGTTTCGTAGTAAGCAGTCGCACACAAACGCACACATATATACAACACTTAATAGTCAGGAGTGGGAACTAAGAAACACCGCATAAAGAGAAGACAAAGATAATAAGAAACAAATGCATACCATCTTCTATCTCATTCTCTTTTAGGCTAAATCCTATAAATGTGCACATGTTTGTGTCTCGTTTTCTCTTTTTAGTACCGTAGCCGTTTCATCGTTTCGTTGCCGTTGCCGTTGCCGTTGCCGTTACCATGGATTTTCGTTCGCTTTTTTCAAATCACCCCCATTCTAAGGAAGTTTTCACTTCAATAAAAAAAAATAGAAGAACATATAACAAATGTAATAATATAGAATGAGAATTTACGATAAATCACACACACACCATTATACTTAATCCATGCATTTTGGATTAATGCTTAGAATAATCTTTCTCTCTCTCTCTCTCTATCTCTCTCTCTGGTATCGATCGAACCTTTCGATGCTTGAAAACGATAGAAGGGCCAATGGTGATCGAGTAGGATTCAGTGGTGGTGGTAACCGTCAATATGTAACATAGATTAACCTAGGAAAGGTTTTGATCCTTATAGATAAATCTCTCACATATATAGAAAGAAAGATACACACACACACACATACACATATAGATACATACACTCCCATATGTGTAAACTGAGCAGCTAGATTATAACCTCTACGAAAAAAAAAAAAATATTAAAAAAAAAAGGAATAAAATCCTTCATCGTTCGTTTTTTTTTAAATAGCAATCTTTCCTTTGAAACTACTCATCAAACCCCTCACCCCCTCCCACATCCCACCTCTTTATGATTTGTTACACATTTATCGGAAAAATAGAAGAAAGAAACAGAAATGAGGAATTTACATTAAAAAAAAAAAAAAAGAAAAAAGATACGAAACAGGAATAAGGACAGGGGATTGGGATTGGGTAGAAGCAAACATTTATGATGATTATGATCATGACGATGAAATTCTCAAATATTCTTATCTTATCGAATGAAATATATTCGTTAAAATGAAATGAAATCGTACCTGGGTCGTGCTTCATGAAAAATATTACAAATTTTCACTATTTTATTTTAAATCAATAATTAATAAATATACATATAAAAATTTAATATATATCAAAAAATAATTAAAATATATATAAAATTTCAATATATTATCATCAAATATTAATAAATTATAACATTACATTATAATATAATATTACAATATAATATAAAAATAAGAACAAAAATAAAAATAAATATAAAATAAATATATAATAATAATTATATATTAATATTTATATATATATTAATTATTATATTATAACAGTAAAAATAAAATAAAATAAATATGTAATATGAAATATAATATTACAATTATTGTTATATTTAAATAAAAAAAAAACACACACATACACACAATTGTTGCAAACAAAAATAATTCTATTTGATTATAGTATGAATATGAATATACAGTAAATTTAATTTAATTACTTTTTTTTTTGCATTTTCGTATTGTGGCTGGTAATGGGTTAAAATCAAAAAAGGAAACTTCATTGAAACGATAGCAAAGATCAACTGGACCAATCAATCAGTTCTATCTATCTATCTACTTTTATCTATTTCTATTTATCTCTATTTATCTCTCTCTCTCTCTCTCTCTCTCTCTCTTTTTATCTTTTTACATTGAACTATTTTACTGAAGTTCGTTCACAGTTTGTGAAAAGGTAGAAAACGTTTCTAACGTTAGAGATCTTAAAAGGAGCCTAAAGCCATTCTCGCATTATCTTCCTTGATAGATCCAGGAAGAAGATGATCGTTGAAGCGCGTCGATGGTTTAATTACGACTAGCGACGTGGCAGCAATCTAAGTGCCACCCCAACCCTAAAACCTTCCTTCTCACACCCTTACCTTTATTTCACCATCGATTCTAACGTCGACAAACTCGAGCACACGAATGAGACGTAAATTCTAAGAGAAAGAGATAGAAAGATAGAGAAAGTATTGGCATTTGGATCGAAACTTTCAAGACGAAGTTGAATCAAATAAAATAAGTAGAAAAAGGAAAAAGAAGAAAGAAGAAGAAGAAGAAGAAGAAGTAGTAGAAGTAGAAGAAGTAGAAGTAGAAGCATATCTTCTTTATCTCATCATTGCTTTTTCAATGTGATACTACTTTATTCGTTTTTCAAGGACCATTAAATTCAATCCTCCTTCTCGATGAATTCTTTCCCACCTGACAAGAAACAAACGGTTCTTTTCTATTAGAACATTTAACAAACTATAAGTTTATTTTTTTATATGAATATATAAGATAACATTTATAATTATATTACATAAAATTAAAATTAAAATTTGTTACATATTTGTATTAATACAAGTAATTTTTACTATAACTATCTTTATTTTCTTTGTATTTAATTTATTTTTGTAAGTTTTGCATTATAATGAGTGGTTTCTCCCATAAAATAAAATAAAATAAATTAAAATAAAATAATATAACATAAAATAAAATAAAATAAAATAACATAAAATAGAATGTAATAAATTAAAATAAAATAAAATAACATAACATAAAATAAAATAACATAAAATAGAATAAATTAAAATAAAATAAAATAAAAAAACATAAAATAAAATAACATAAAATAAGAAAACATAAAATAAAATAAAATAACATAAAATAAAATAGAATAAAATAAATAATACTATAAGGGAAAATATCTTATAATTATATCAAATAAAAAACATAAAAAAAATGTTTATTTATTATATATATGTATATATATATATATATATATATATATATATTTATTTATTTATTTATTTATTTATTTATTTATTTATTATAATAAATGCTTTATCCCACAAACTAAAATAAACTAAAATAAAATAAAATAAATGCCATAAGACGCAATATTGAAAAGATAGAAAAGGAAGAAAAAAAAAATGGTATTAACAAATGATTCATATTTTTAAATGATAGATCAATTTTGTGATCTTATTTTTAACGACATAATAATAATATCAGAATAATACGATAAAAACATACTTCGTATAATAAGGTCATAAAAAATGATAACCATGTTTAAAAAAAAAAAAAAAAAAATCATATGAAATAATAATCTTGGGTTATTTCAAATGATTCATTATTATACGCGAACATTATAGAAATACATCTATATATGTGTATATATTGTATATAGACATATAGGAAAAAGGAGTTTACCTTCGCGAAAGTGAACCTTCCTCGGTGGTCGAAGCCTGACGTGTTGGTGTTGTTGTTGTTCGTGTATCGAGGAAATATCGTTTGGGCCAAGGTTTTCTTTCGACAACGAACTGACCAGAATACCCCTCAAGGTCGCTAAGGTACTGCTAGGAATATCTCTGTTCATCCTGACTCCACCACCCATGTCACTTTTTTTTTTATATATTTCCAACTTTACTTTAATAATATTTTTCCAAACCAAAAGGAAACTAAAATGTCGTAGGAATTGCACTCTGATTAATTTGAAGCCAAAAAAAAAAAAAAACTGACGAACACTTTAACACTCGAACCTGTGTTTACACCTTTTTATCTTCCATAGGAAAATAAAATAATTGCAGATGAGAAAAATAATAATAATAAAAAGAAGAAAAAAATGTGGTTTTTTTTGTTCTTATCAGAATGACGAACTAGTTTCTTTCACTAATGTGAATATGCATTAATACACAGATACACGTTTGTTGACGACGAGTATATACGGCGGCAACTTGAAGTACGGTGACGGGGACAGGTAAAGGGACAGAAAAGGCGACCAGACGACCGTGTACTTCGTCGTACAGTTCAAAAAGATATTTCTCGTCGATGAACACGACTGAACGTGAGTGAAAAAAGGGATTCTTGAATTACGAGAATCGGTCGGTCAACGAAAGGATCATTCGATATCTGGGCAAGTATCGAATATCCACACAGGTAGTACCACCACCTCTGGTCGTCCGACACGCTTGGTTCGATGATAAAATTCTCTCAAGTCCAATAGTAGTAGTAGTAGTAGTAGAAGTTGTGTTAGTGAACGATACTGACGATCGTARTGGTGGTGGTGTTGGTGAAGTTGATTCAATCCTATCGAAGGTCGACATTTGCAAACTGTTTTTATTTTTTCATAACCATTCAATTGTTACAATAAAAAAAAACCAAACACGTTGTTGATCGACATTTGCAAATTGTGTTTGTTTTTATAATCATTTAAATGTTACAATAACAAAACAAAAAAACAAACACATTGGGTTGCTTCTCCTAACAAATCTCAAACAACTAAGTGTATTATTTTTATATATTTTTGTTTCTATCATTTTTCTTATTGTAACTTTCGCTTTTTCTTCCAAACGATTATCGATAATAATCGAAAGCAAGCGAAGTTAAGATAAAACGAGACACTGAACTTTCACTGGACAACTATCAAGAAACACCATTTTACTTATTGAACACTTGTTGTTGTTGTTGTTGTTGTTTGTTGATGTTGGATTGAGGACAGTGATATTTAACTGGAACTACCTGACTATTGAGACTTTATGCACACGCTGACTCTTACTACACGCTGACTGACTTCGAAGTAGAGAGAAGAACTCGACTCAGCTCCTTAATGCCTTACCAACCCAACCCACTCCACCCCACCTCATCCTACCCCACCCCCTCTAACTCTTTCTTTTCCTCTCTTTTCGCACTCTCGACAGTCTTCGCTCATTGCCATGGGATAAAACAGAGTGGGGACGAATATTTCTGAGACGACGACACTACCAACGATGATGACTATGAACGAAGAACCATCATGCTTGTTGCTTGCTTACTTGCTTGGTTGGTTCGTTGGTTGGTTCGTTGGTTGGTTGGATTTCTTACTCTCACTCACCTGTTTTAAAACAGGTGAAAGAAACTTATGTTAGATGCGAACGACATAATAATAACAACAACAACAACAACACTGTGCAACATTCTTTTTATTTTTCTATTAATTATATTTTTAATTGTTTTCTTATACATTAAAGTATTTTCAACGAGATTGTATATTTATAAAAATATATATTATATATAAAAAAATTTATTTATAAAAATATTTAAAATAATAAAATTGTTAAAATATAAAAAATAATAAAATTTAAATAAATACAAAAATATTTAAACACAAAATATTCTTACTACACAGTAAAAAACTAAAAATTTTTCTACTTAAATTATATTAACGGTTTTTCATATTTTAACGTTCTTATCGTGAACTCCAGTGACGTATATATTCCACTGCAATGATGGAATGAGTAGGGGTAGGGGTAGAGAGGTGAAGAGAGAGAAAAAAAAGTGATAAATCGAAAGAATATAAACGTCAACGTTTCTTACAATCGTTTTCTTCAATGTCGTGCGATAAGCACAGCTAACTAAAAGTCAGCTGATCATTTTTCCCCTACCACCATCACCACGACTACTACTACTTCTTGTCGGTGTTACCGAAGATGGCTGAATATGGTTTGACGCCGGCTTTACCTGGCGGCCAAGTCGATGCACGTGCAAGCTATCATACAACTCTTTTCTTTCGATCACGAAAACCGCCATAAAAGGTAACCTTTAATTCGTATCGTTCGTATTCGAACTTGACGATAAAATAATCGTCGAAAAAACAAGCTTTTTTTTTTTAAAGAAGTTAATTATAACGAAAGATAAAATTTAAAAGAGAGAGGAGAAAGAAAGAGATTTCAATTTTATTTTCTTTTAATTATTCATAATCAGAAACACGTCATTTGATGGATAATCAAAATTTTCTACGAGTTATCCGACTAACGTAGTAATTCCTAAAGTAGGCGCTACTGCCCTCTAGTGGATGCTACAGCTATTTAGGGACTCGCGTTGATGGCCACAAGTGCCAATAAATAATTTCAAAGTTCAATGTTTCTTATTTACACCTTTCTTTACTATATTTTACAAAAAAAAAAAAAAAAGGTAGAAACATTAATACATAGAATATATTTCGTATTAATTGCTATTAAAATTTAAACAAAATTAAATTCTAGGGGGCGCTGAGTAATATTTTTTTTCTGGATAGGGGGCGGTAGGACAAAACAGTTTGGGAACCACCGATCTAACGTTTTAACCCTTTTTGTACCACTGCTTGTAATTATAATTATAACAAAATTATTATTTTTAAATATTTATTTATAGAATTTTGTAAATTTTGTCTCTCTTTTTTATTTTTTTGTGTGTGTTAATTTAAATAATGTGCATATGCACGTTTTAATTACAGATAACAATAATTGTCAACGCTAATACCGTAACATCTTAAAGCATAATCATCCTAAAAACAAACAAACCTATGAAGAATTAAAGGGTTGAAATATATAACTAGGCTTATAAAAAAGTCTCTCTCCCTCTTGTTATATACGTGGATTATATCGTTTTGGATATTCGAAGGATTAAACGTTCACTCTTGAAGTGAAGTGAACAGTAGAACTTGCATCGAAATGAATTTTATTGTTAGTCTTCAGGTGGATATTCTGTACAGGTAGATTATTTCGTCGTTCTTAGATTTTTCAACGAAACGTCAGACTAAATGAATTAAAAAGAAATAAAATAAAATAAAATAAAAATAAAAATAAAATGAAAGATATTTTATTTGTTCGTTCAAGAGTTAATATATTCTGAGAACATAATTGAAACGTATTCGAAATAATGAAAATTAAAGTATTTTTCATAATGCATACTTCGAAAGGATTGTTCTGATTGTAATCATTCCATCGATGGGTTTTATTAGCTTACGGTTTTGTTTACTTTAAGGGTTGGAAGCCGTATATTACTTATTGTTTTATTGTAAATAAATATAATTACAAATTGTGCCCTGTAACGCGTTAGGGTGGCTCGTGTGAACCAAAATATAACTGTCGTATAGATAAAAGTTAGGTTATGTTCAAATTTATCGCACACTCACCAAAATTTATCACCAACAGATGGCACTGTGCTATATCTTTTCTTTTTTTTTAAATTAATTGATATAATAAGAACCTAGGTGTTTGTGAATGCAACTTTGTGTCAAATTTTGTTTAAGAATCATTCGTATTATAAAATTACAATCCTAATTTATGATGAGTAAGAAGAATAAGAAGTATTAAAAGTAGATAAAGAAAGATTAAAAGAAATTGATTGAGTAATAATAATCGTTAAAAAAAAAAAAAATGTAGAAAACTAATATGACGAAGAATGACGAACTATTATTAACGTCATGCTAACACATTTTCTCAGTAAGCTCAAGCTCGTTCGTTCGTACGTGAATATCGCAAATCATCCGTGAACATCGTAAATCATCTGTGAAAATCGTTCCAAGTCTGAGCAAGTAGCTTTTCTGATTTACCTTAATATTTCTTAGTTCTACAATTGAATAAAAAAATTAAAAAAAAATTAATAATAAATTAAATTTACCGTTAACCTATCGAATATAATTGTTAACCCTTTAAATGAATAGAAACATTACATTATTTTACATTAATATTAACAAACACGTATATGTGTCGATAGATTACTCTAGTCATTATTACCAAACGCATATATGCGTCCATAGCACATTCTAAGGTTTAAGAAATATTGTTTTCTTGTTATCCAAATTTTTTCTCGAACGATTAAAATAATTCAAAAAAAAAATGTAAGATTAATCCTTTCGCCACTATGAACGACTATAGTCGCTCTCCATAAAATGCTACTGACGTACTACAAGCGACTGAAGTCGCTCTACATAAAATGCCACTCAAATACTACGAACGGCTATAGTCGCTCTACATAAAATGCTACTCACATACTACAGACGGCTATAGTCGCTATGCATTTTTATGCCGCGCATTGTACATTGTATAATACATATGACGAACGACTAAAGTTACTTCAAATCGAGTTTAATAAAAAGTTAATACGTTTAAATGTTATCAATATTTTAATTTGTGGAGTTTTTTTTTTTCAATAAACATCCTTAAACCAACTCGAGTTGCTGTGAAGCATAAACGCAATTGCCGCTGTCAATGTTACTCGAGCACCGTGCACATTTTTGGCGTGGCGGCAAAATTCCGTTCAGCAAAAATACCACGGCGGAGAGGAAGTCGTCCGTAACGAAAGGATTTACACACATTAACAGAGTAATGTGTGATGATAAATTAACAATAGAAATTTGAGAAATTTCGTAAACGATTTCATTTACATTAACACGTACACGTCGGCGCCAATTTTCAGTGTCTGCGCTGTCGGGCGGCGCTTGGATTTTTGCTGGACCAATGTGGACCACCGGTGGTACACGCCGCCCGATGGGACAGTCTAGCGCGAACCACCGGTGGTACGAGCCGTTATAATGAACATCAACGTGTTAAGCTTATACGCAAACATTTATTTGCATACTTGATAAAGATGGAAATGATCTAAACTCATAAAGCAACACAACGACAACAACCAACAATAAAACCAACTTGTCCGTGTTTATTACGTAAGAAAGATTTGTTTCGAACCTGACATCATTCCATAATATATATATATATATAAATATATGTATACAAGGTGTTCAGAAAGTATGTGAATTTTACACGTATACCAACAAAGAAGTTGTTTCCCTCTCTCCTCACTCTTCTCCTCGTCTGATATTTTCCAACAGGCGCTAGTTACATTCTTTTGCGGCTAGGTCAAACAAAAATATATATATAAAAAAAAAAGATACTACTAGACGACCTTGCAATGCCATTCGTTAATGTAAACCATGCAAAACGTTAACTTGCGTGTATCATCTCATCTCATTCTAATAACTGCATTTTTTCTTTCTTTTTATTTAATCATGATTATGATTAGTGAATTGAAAAACGATTAGAAAATATTCATACTTTTTTTTTTTATATACGTCATTATATCTATTGTAAAAATTGTCAAGAATATGTACAGATTCATTGTTTATAACAAATTAGTTAATACATTATAATTTTCAGACACATTTTATTTCAAATTGGTTGATGTACGAATACTTTTTACACTCACTGTAGTTGAATGAAAATGTTTCTTGCATAACCTGATTGGTTTTTTTTATTACTTTTTTTTTTATTGGGTTAAATTAATAGATTTGACAAACATTCTGAGTTTTAATCAAACGTAGGAACTTCAACTAATTTATAAGAAAAAGATTGTTGATTAAATTAACATTTGAATCGATAAACAATTAGAAAATATTTATTTGTTTTATTATATAATAATTGAATAAAAATGTTTCTTGTATAACCTGATTGGTTTTTTTTTTTTATTACTATTTTTTTTTTTTTTATTGGGTTAAATTAATAGATTTGACAAACGTTCTATTGTGTGTTTTGATCAAACGTAGAAACTTCAAATAATTTACAAAAGAGAATGAGAGAACACGTTGATTAAATTAACAACGATCAAAAGAGAGGAGGAGAGGAGAAACATATAATTAATTTATTAACTAAATGAAATTAATTAAAGATAGAGATTGTCGTTTGAAAAAAAAAAATTCTCGTATCTTTTGGATTGCTGAATATTTGTGTTTTACTATTTCTAGTTTGGTGAGTCACTTTCTTCAAATGCTGATATCAATTTTAAAT